GACGTTTGCTCCATGTACGAAATTCAGTTTCATTTGTATACTTAGTATTTCTTTCTGCTGCAATAACAGTTCTTTATTTTATTATCAACATTACCTCAGGCTTCTTAACAGCTTCAGCTTCCACAAGAGCAAACTGAACTTTTTGAAGCTGTGTCAGACAGAAGGGAGTGTCAGTGCTACCGAGAATTAAAGAACTAATCTGAAGTGTTTCCTTTGGAAATAAATGGAGTTGCCATTTATTTTTTCCCTGAAATGCTAGCTCCCTGTGAGGTCAGACTGTAGCCATTGCAGGTGCTTTGTTGCACTTCATTTCTGAACTCTCACTAAGTCCCTTCTAAGCTGCCTCATTCCAGATGTGGATACAACCAGCTTCTTAATTGCTAGATTTTTACTGCTGAACATTAATTGAATAATTAAGAGGCTTATAGCTCCTGGAATGGAGCAGATTGCAAGGGCAACAAGTTGAGTAGCTGTGCTCTATGGTATTCTTTTCATCATTGTAAAGATACAATGTTAATGACGTCTAATTGTACAGTACTTGTCTACAGTATATTGTTATCTTAAGGCATCACTACCTTAACAAAGAGATGTGCTATTTTGATCCCTTGTCCTGTGGGCAATATGTACCAGGAACCAAGCGAAATATGCATCCACATCATCTTATTTTCCATTGATCCTCCTTTCTCCATTGTTTGAACTAGAGGCTTTTGCTATTTCAGTAGTGCATTATTTTTGATTGTTAAAGTAATGGCTGAACCATTATTCATATGAATAGCTTTTGGCTATATTTCCTAATATGTGAAATCAGTAATCTATATCGATGTCTGCAATGTAAGGTGATTTGGATTTTTCTGAACGAATGTAATTAAGGTCCGCTCACTCAGGTTTTTATTGAATCAAGAGCCGGTAGTGTCCAATGTAAAGTGAGTCTCTCACACAGTCATTATTGCGCAAGCACTCAACTGTGTCTATTGAAGCTGGTGGTTGATACTCAATACTTTTATCATTATCCAAACCCTGAGTTTCAAAAGTTCCACTGATAAAGGAGATGCGCTGCATCACAGTCAGCTGTTCAATGATGTGTTTGGTCAAGGCCAACACTATCTAAGAGGTTGTACTGTGTTACTGTACATTACAACAGTCATCATGGTGTTTTCTGGAATTCTCTGCTGTAGTATAATCTTTCATCATGTGCTTGTTAGAAAAAGTGTTTTCAAAACAAGACCAATTTTCAAATCCTTTTTCTTCTGACAGTTGAACCTGCATTTACCTGGTTTTATGGACAGAATCTTATGTATGTGTAAAAATACTTTAGATTAATGTGGTATAATTACTTTTGTAAAAGCAGGATGCCAAAATACAAAGCAGTAACAGTAGACTGTTTCTCACCATTTAAAAAATGGTGTATTGATTACAAATATGATGGATAATAAAGTAACTGAAAATATATAGGGCATAAGAACATTTTGTTTATCTCTTCAGACCCAGCAAAATAATCTAATCTGTAGCTTGTACTCTGTGCTTAAAGGTTAAATCAGTTATGTTGATATTGGTATTTTTACCTCTTTACACTCACTGTTGTGTGAGAGAAGCTATATTCTTATCTGTGTGGTGTTTTTTTTTTCAATTTTAATTGAATACATTGATCCAAAGAGGCCAATTATTATAGCAAACACTATATGAAAACATTTAGAAACCTATAGATTTTTTTTTTTAATAATTGGTTGTTACCACCTTATGATGTCTTTTGAAGTTCTCTGCTTATCATTCACTGTGACTAAACTGAGTCAAGCCATAGAAAAAATGATATTTCGCAAGGAATTCTGGACAGAATTGTAATGGATAGCCTTTTAATTAAAATAAAACTACAATATGCAAGGTTTTCTGAACTACACAATTATTCATTGTGTACCCTAAGGTGACCCATAGATAGTCAAAGGACAGTATTAATATGTCATGCTATGTTTAACTTGTGCTTATCACTTAGACTTCAAAATCCTATTGTTATAACTTGTTGCACTATTTTTCTGCTTCTCTTAAGCATCTCAAATGCTTAACTCACTGGTATACTAACTAGAAAGCTCAATATGAATGATAGCCTTAGCTCACTGCTGATTGCTGCAGTGCATTCTCTTTCCTCTACAGTATAAACTGTATCTACATATGGTGAAAGATGGTTAGCATCCAGACAAGTCCATTCTTAATTAATTTTCATCATTACAGGATGGCGGCTCGTTTGTGTCACTCAGCATGAAAATCTGACACAATAATCCCGATGTTAATGATCACACAATTTAGTAGCTAACAGTTCATTTGCTTATTGCAAAAACCCTCAGATTGCTGAATTGCTTACTACTTACAATCCATTCATTGTTAGACAAATGGGGCATTTCACGAAAGAAATTGTATGTACCTTCTTTTTTTTTTACATCTTGGCAACTATTGCTGTCTATAAATCGGTTTTCCACTGTATTGTTTTGGATCACGTTCAGCAGAGTTTTGTAAATGCAGAAACAACCTAATCTCAGAAGCATTATGTCTCCTATTCTGGTGCTTTAGAAGTAATCAGTGCTTACCGATTTCAAACTGTGCAGCTCTATGCTGCTTTAAAACCAAAAGTCCCTGAGCGCATTCTGTTTTGTCAGGATGCATATTCAGCGCTAAATCAGAATGATGAGATTTGGGCAGTGGGCGTCTTCCTTAGCATTTTTCCTTAGAAAAGGTGATTTCTAATCTCGAACCATTTTTCTGGCACAATACTCATGTCTTTTCCTGACTAGAAGTAAAAAGGTGGATTTGTTTCCTGTGAAAATACATTATGGATGTCTGGTGCTCTGATGGCTGGTCACTTGTTGTAAATAATTCAATATTAGCTGGAGACAATTCTGTTTTCCTTGTCAATACACCACTTGGATGTTTCACACATCTTTGCTGTTTGCTTGTGAAGTAAACTGAAGGTTTATAATATACAATGTGTCAGTAAGAATTATGCTTGTTTTCTTGGTGCCATATTTGCATATTTAACATCTTTATTTTTATGGCAAAATAAACTACAAATACCTGCTTTAGAACTGTTTTAATATCCTAATAGACTCCTAATAGGTCTACTGTACAGAGGAGACCTTTGTTGTAAAAAATCTAAAGGAAACAAGGAGGTTGATGCATATACATTAGATTTGTATTAATGTCTATAGCAGTTTTATTTAGCTTTGTCCCAGTTTATTCCCCTGTCAGTTTATATAGTAGACTAGCTACCTGTACTAGACAGGGAAATAACACTGTCCTTGCTGTCAGAATCTGGTCAGTTGAGTTGCAGGTAAATTAACCAGTTTGCTGGACTGTCTCTATATTTCAGTCTTTTCATCCTGGCTTGGGAGAGTGTAGCTCTTTAAAATCCAGTGGAAAGGGGAAAGAGGATTTGCTTCTTAAATAGTAGTTTGGGTGTTATAATTAAAAACATTCCTGTATGATTGACCACAAATATAATGCCTAATGCTGTAGATGCATTTACAAAGGAGGCCAATTAAGGGGTATGGATTTAACCATAGGAGGAAGTGGAGCACTAGGGGGGAAATAGGTTTCAGTCTTAATCTCAGCCCCTGTGGCTGAGTAACAGCTTGAATGTGCTGGAAATAACTATTTAATCATGGAGCATTAATAGAGCATTCTTGATGTCTCATAAATAGCATTAACAGTCATACTTTTTAATGCAGTGCTTTTGTAATTAGATCTTAATAAAAGTTATTTGTGGTTTGCATTTTAAACTTTAATTCTCCATCATCAGAGGGTGAGAATATGTTCCTGTAGTATAAATGGTCTTAGCTGCACAAACTGTGTATACCATATCTGCAAGTTTTCAAGGCCTCTTGAAAACACCCAAAATGCAAATAAAGCAGCAGAGACTGAAGAGCTGAAAGAAGCTGTTAAATCGGCGATGTCTAACCAGTACCCAGATGGTTTAGCTTGTTAAGAGCTGTGTTTGAAGACCTACAAATGCACTGGGCTTCCAAAACCAGGATTGAGCAGTTCAGGTTCAAAGTATTGGAAATTAGTACACATCTCATAATTATTTTTTCCCTTGGTAATATTAAGTTAATTTCTTCTAGTCACAGTAAATCTTATGTACAGTTTAAGCATTTGCATTAAAGGTGTGTACTGAGCTTGTGGATCACAATTTTGAATGCAGAAAGAAGTAGCAAAAGATGAGTTCGTTTTTTAGTTATTTTTTTCCGATTCAAATGTGGCCTTCCTTTTCTGTCTGGTGTTCACTCTTGGTTCAAAAGGAGGCTAATTGAACGCATATTCTTCTTCAAAAGAGTCATTTTCCACCTTGTTTTTGAATGTTATGTTAATTAAGTGAATGCAAATATGTTCTCGGAGTTGGAAGGTGGATTTAATTATTTTTGTTAAAGTGGATTGTAGCACCGGTAGGATGCAGAATACTTGTTCAATTACTGTTGCGTGACACACGACTGGTGTTCTGAATTAATTGACTGCATTACAATGGGAAGATATCCAGCAGCAGAAAACACTTGAAAAACAATCCTAGGAACATTATTTTTAAGTGGACTGTATTTTCTCTTTTATTCCTGGTGTTTAGCAGAATACCATCTTCCTTTTTCAAAAGCATAAGCCCAGTCCTATAGTATTATTAAAAAATTGTACTATCCTGCCACGAAAAAGTCTCTGTAAAAAGCATTTCCCATCTGCTTGGATCCATGTTTAGGTGCTGAAATAATTTTATTTTTTAGAGCACCTTATACACTGGGGCTCTGCAATGATAAAGTACAAAAAAGCAATAATCTGTTTGGGAGGACTGCCAGGAGATTCGCTTCCATGCAAAATAAAAAGTTGCTATGCAAAGAAATTAGAATGTGGAAAGTTAAAAAAAAGTAAGATCCGGGGCTTAAGATGCACATGGCCTGGAGAAGCAAGGCTTTCCTGTGTGGAACAGAGCTCTTGCTTGTTGGGGACTCACACTTGTGCTTTCCTTTCTGCAGCTGGCTGCACTGGAGAGACAGGTGTTTGATTTCCTGGGTTATCAATGGGCACCAATTCTGTGCAACTTCTTCCATATCATCATCGTCATTCTGGGACTGTTTGGCACCATCCAGTACAGGCCTCGGTACATTATTGTGGTAAGTACTGCAACTCGTAAGCTCACTGTTCAATAAGGCACCTTGTGTTTCCTAGGATCACATCACATTCTTTTTCAGACTTAATTATTGTTTTACTTAGTGCATGCATTAATCATACCAGGCATCGTCTTAAAATAACTCGTGTTCTTCATTTTCACTTTTTCAATGCTTAAAGGTGGGGAAAGAGGTACAGTGTGATCATAACTAAATAATGTGAAGTAAAGCTCATACTGTATGGTCAGATTTACTTGCATGCTATAAGAAAAGCTCTTCCAGAATTTATAAACATTTGAGGGGCCCTTTCTCTGTCTAAATTAACTAGCAAAAACCCAAAATATATGGCAGGGCATTTTGCTGGTTCTTTCAATATTATCTTTTATAGTGCATGAGCAGAAACAAGTACAGTACAGAAGTACAGTCTACTTCTCTGTTCCGGAGTCCAGATCTTGATTTTGGTTATTTGTATTCTCCATACTTTGCTCAGCTTTTTTTTTTTTTACCTTTGAAAGCTTCCACCTACAACAAGAAGATTTTGTCATTCAAATAACTATTGGTTACCTATTAGACATTCTAAGGCCAAAGAGCTTGGAATGTCATTTACTGCTAAATTATTCAAGGTTGTGAATGTCACATAACATGTTTCCAGCATAAAAAAATATTCTGATTGTCTCACTTTTAGAATGTGGTAGAAAATACTTCAAAATGGCATAAATTATTTTTGACCTTATTTTGTGGTGCTGTTTTCAATTTCATGTCACTTTGGTTGTATTTTGAATTTCTATTCCACAAATAACAACATTACATTGTTGAACAGTATTTTACCATAGTTCTTAAAGAACTGCTAATAAGTATTAATTGGCAAATAAGATTGAGAATTAGCAAACAAAGATCTGCTGTTCGGCACAAACAATGAGACCTTATTAGCAAACTCCATTTGCATAAGCAAAGATGCTTCACTGAATTTCTTACTGCAGCATTTCAAAAGGAAATTATTAAAATGAAATATGTGTAAATGTTGCTGTAAACGGTACCTTTGAGACAATTTCTTTTACGTTTGGTAAAACCAGAAGACTCTACTAATGGTAGGTTTATTCTGTAGTGACTGTTATCTTATCTGCAACAGCTACAAAATGCAATGCTTTTAATGATTGATTTATTTCTGTGTAAAAGGTAAAATGTTATGTGTCTTTTAAATATGAACCTCACCATGAACTTTAAACAAATTGTGTTCATCTCATGCTATTTGCCCAGTACCTCTGAGTAAAATCCTTTGCAAAATGCAAAATCACTTATCACAAAGTTCTGGTCCTTGGCTTCCTGTCAGAAATGTTATTCTCTTTCACATGCTATTAGAAAAACGTTCCATCTGTAGCCATGACCTTGGTGACACTAAGGCATGTGAGGAAACGGTGTTCTCCGACAGGTAATGAATGCAAGGCTGTCTCATTATTTAAAGATAAAAAAGATGGAGTGCCAATGGAAGAAATCGGATTGCAATCGAAAACATTGCTGCCAGAGATCCAGATTTTCCGATAAAAGTTCATCTGTTATGTGCTTTTATTTTATCTTTGGTCATTTATCACTTTTTGAATCATTATTGAATGAACTGCTATCATCTACACTTTTAGCACTTGAGTTTGAATGCTGCTGTACAGACATTCCGCACCCTCACAATTAGAATATGTTGTATGTATGAAAACTTCATAGACTGCATAATTACTTGTTTAGTATCAATAAATTTAAAGTGCTGTTCTGGTTGTATTCATGCAGCAACAAGGCTGGATTGCAGAGATCTTGGCTGAACTTGCAGTTGTGCTACAGTATGTTCTGTATGGTCGGACCTGGGATTCAGTCTCCAGTCTAGCAGATATATCTGAGTGTCTGATTGGGCCACTGTGAGCAGCTAACAAGCTCACTATGGCAAAGGGGTGGGGCGTACTGACTTGGAAACTTGATCTTTGAGAGTCCTGGGCAGTAATTCTGCTTGAACCATCTCACCTGACAGTAGTGGTCTTCTCGCAGTGGAGCACCTCTGCTGGCCAGAACCAGTGAATGAGACCTCAGCCACAAAAACAATCCAGAGTCCGGGCTGGGTCCGGGCTGGGTCCGGGCTGGGTCCGGGCTGGGTCCGGGCTGGGTCCGGGCTGGGTCCGGGCTGGGGCGAAAGAGTCAAGGAAAACTTGTAGTAAAATGAGAAGAGCTACTGGATCTTTTTATTTTAGCATTGATAACACAAAAACATGAACATCTGACAATAGGCATTTCCTGAAGTAAGGATATCGAGTTCACAGAAATACAACCGCATAAGTAGAAAATAATGATGTTGAATCATTTCAGTGCAGTTATATATTATCTTTAACTCTTGTGCAAAAACTACTTTTATCAGCTGTGAGATCAAGGCATATTGAATCAGAATGATAGGTGGAGTTGATTATTTACTGTGTATCTTCTATTATGACCTATTGATCTGTGGCCCACAGCTATGGTTAAACACAGTGAAGTAACAGATTCAAGACAGTGTTTTGATTCCCTTTATCTGTAAGACAAATTAGGATTCACTGTTATTTTTCTTTCACTGGTCACACCTTAGTTTACATCTTTGTTGTAACTGTCTATGAAACAGCCTATTAACATGTTATTAAAGGAGTAATAAACAGCACCAACACATTACATACTCATACTCATTAAAGATTGGTGTTTAGTTTAAAAATAAAACCTTTCTCTATATTTTACTAAGAAGTCTGAGATTTCATTCATATACAGTTTTGCTTCATGTGCAAAACACTTAATATGGCTTAATATACTAGACTGCTAAGAAAGCACCGGGGAATGGACTACCACTTCCTCAAGATTATAATACAAAACCATTATCATATTTTAAATTCATCTAACCACATTAAGTGCTTTCTATATTATGACAGTCTCAATAAGGTTTACTGTCATTAGCATTTGTTATATATCACTGAAAACCTCAGCTTAGGTGGACAAAGTGTTAACTCAGCTATTTCTGAAGTTTTCCAAGACTGACTGTTTAGCTGGCTTGTCACATTTAGCTTTGCATTCAGCAAAAAACAAACAGGACCTTGACATTCATTATCGACCAATATCAATCCACACTATTCCTGTGTCTGCTGATCACACTCTCAGCACAGCTTGCACACTGAATATTGCAAGAAGGGCTCGACTTGGCTCGGGTGTGACACTGTGAAAAGGTGTCACGAAATCTTCATGCTGTCCTCCTCTGAACTCCTCTTCCCAATTTGGCAAAAGCTTAAGTGACTGACAGCCGTCAGTGCTCATGATACGAGTCTTGGCCCAATTGAAAGGTATGCACCTTCAATCGGATGTCCTTTAGGCATCTGTGCCCCTGGCATGCACCATCCACATAGTGAAGAAGTTTCACCTTGGATTTAGCCTGATGAGAATATTAATGCAAACTGGGACATTTGGAGACTCCTTACTGTGCTGGATGTTTAATAGCTCAAACTTTAGATTTGCAAACATAAATTATAAATACCTGTGTCTGCATGTATAGGAGCACCATTGTGAGTCTGTGAATGAATGACCATAGTGAGAAGCTGAGGGAATAAGAAACATCCAAAATGTTTAAATGATTGGAACACCATTAGTACATGAAGAAGAATCCACGTTCTGCATAATTTTACTTTTTTTATTTCCAGGGCCTGAATCCTAATGCAAAGCCAACGCCTGAATCATATATTTCTTGCAGTTCATGTTTGTACGAGCATTTATATTCTCACCTGAAAGCTCACTGTGGCACCTAGAGCCGTGTTGATACAACTGTCTCTGAGCTTAATATTGTAAAATACTGTGTGTGAGAGCGGTGGGCTGTGAAATGTAGCCAAGATGCAATTTCATTTCACACATTGTTTTATTTTTTTTCTAGTATGCTATCTGGGCAGCTCTTTGGGTCACCTGGAATGTCTTCATTATCTGCTTTTATTTGGAGGTGGGAGGTCTGTCAAAGGTAAGACATCTACCCTTGTTTCTGTTGCGAGTCGGGTAGTTTTTGCCAAATTTAAATCACACATACAACCAAGGAGCTCACCCACTTCATTGTTCCTTCTCAAATGTTATGAGCAGGTTAAGCTCAAAATGTGAGAAAGAAATGAAAATTCTTTAGAATTAATTATTTTTCCAAGAAGGTAACAAGCAGGAGGAGGTCATTGAGGCCATTGGATAGTTAGTAGCTGAAGTAGTTAATAGATCTCATCAAACTGTTTCTTGAAAGAACCCAGGGTATCGGTTTCAACAATTCTAACTTATAGAAAGTCTCTCGATTGTTTAAACAAGTGTAAACACACAAAGTGCAGTCAGTGCATCAAGACAACATACAAACAAACAGTAGACAATTTACAGGTAAACAAGTAAACAGTTTGAATGTAAACAATACAGATGTGTAAACAATGACTGGAGATGTGCAATAAATAAGAAATCATAATGAGGTAGATGGTGTAGGTGTGGTCCGAGGGGTCTGGCCAAATGTGTTTGCCAATTGCACTGCTTGTGGATATTGAAGAATCTAAGGGTAAGTGTCCGTATGCTCTTATACTGTATCTCTTGCCTGAGGGCAGTGGGGTGAAGAGCTCATTCCCGGGGTGCTGACTGTCCTCTGTGATGGCCAGAATTCTACCACGGCAGCGGTCCACATAGAGCTGTTTAATCTCTGTGAGACCACAGCCGATGATCTTCTGGGCCATATTGACCATTCTATGCAGTGCCTTTCTTTCTCGAGAAGAGGTGTTACCAAACAGTGATCCCATTGGTGAGGATGCTCTTGATGACCCTTGAGTCATCCCACAACCCCTTGAGTAAAGAAGTGCCTTTTGTTTTGGGTTTTAAATGTATGTCTGTGTAGATTCCACTTGTGTGCTCTGGTTCATGTTTTCAGTGTTTTTCTGAAACAGTCTTCTGTGCTGGATTATAAATATATTTATCAGGTCCCATTGTAATCGTATGATTTTGTCCCGTCAGCTTGTCAGTGTAGGACATCCCCTTCAGCACCTTAACGCACCCAGTTGCTGTTCTTTGGACTGATCCCAGAGCTGCAACATAATATCTATTACAAAGTGACCACAGTTGTACACTGTATTCTAAATAAGGACTTATTGGTGTATAAAATTTCAACATGACACCTCCTGATTTAAATTCTGTTTACCCCAAAACTTAGTTTGCCTTTGAAATTGCTTCCCACATGGTCATGAAGATGTAAATGATTTGTCAACATAAACACTTAAAATAAGTAGCCTCTTTTATTTCCAGTTTCTGTTGGATTAATGCTTATGTGTTACAGCCCTTTTCAGTTAGGACAGCTGACATTAAATTCAGTTCTTAGTTGATACAGTATATATAACTGAAAAATGTACCCATGTTTATACAGTACTCCCTTTGATAGTCTGAACACAATGAACATGGCTAAGAGAGTTATTCCCAAAATCATTGCCTGAGGTCCTTGAAGCTTCAAATTCTTTGAAGTATTGTGAAACACTCCTTGAGTTAAATATATATTATCAAGAATAAAAGATTGCTATTATGTCTAATAATGGGCTCCAGAGTGTCTGTACTGTACATTGAAGAGGTCTAGGCAGGCCCATTCGTTGGTGTTGGTGTTTGTCCAGGTTCAAAATGTGCTCCTTAAGCGTTATCGGAGAAATCATGAAACTGCCTCTATAGCATTTTCCATCTGCAACTGCTAACTTCAATTCAATTTAACTTTATGCCCACATTTTTCTGTTCCTCAGTGTTTACCCTTATGCAAGGTGTGTTTCTGTGCATTATGTTTAATGTCTTTATTTATAATATCCTTAATTATTAGAAAAAAAATGGAATTAAATATATAAAAATAAAGGCAAAGGGAACAGATTAAAAAAGGACATTTTACCACAGTGCCAAATGAACTTTTACACTTCTGAATTGCTTTCTTTGCATTTTCACAGGAAACCGGGCATATGGGAATCAGTTTGAGCTTCTGTGTTTTCAATCATTAGATTGTTTACATATTCCCTCTGTCCTTCTGGAATTAAAATTATAATAATACTCCCACTCTATATACAGTTTGAATGTGACTGTGTGAAGAACTGTGTGAAAGCTTTTGATTTAGTAAGAATTTTGTCTGCTGTGGTTTGCAGTGTGCAGAGTTTATAAATCTAGTGCCAGTAGAAAATTGGAAGCTACTTGTATTGCCCAGTGTGCAGGAGATATACAGCTGGACACCATCTATTCCTATTCCTAAAGATCACACCTGTATCCTATCCTGGAAACACAGGGTACAAGGCTGTAAGAGACACTTGTACCAAGACACCAAGATCATCTAGAGACAAAAATTAACATAGTAAGAGTGTCTTTGGGAAGTCAGCAAGCTTGAGCTTCTAGCAAAAGCCCTTATGAACACGGATGAACATGCAAACTCCATGTATAAGGTATCCCAACACAGAAAGCGTGAACAATAGCTATCTGAGGCATCCTCGCGTCATTATTATTGCTACAATTGTCATTATAAATGTAAATCGGTCAGTTAAAAAATGAACCCAAAATAGCAAAGGCTCACCATTCAGCCCTTGCGTCACCAAGGGGAATTATTTTATGAGCCACATTGTGAGTTTAAAGCTCTTTCTGGCAGGCAATAACTCATTAGCAGGTTTATTGAGTGCACAGTGGCCTTTTGCACTTTGAAAGATTCCTATCATTTCTGGAGTTTACTGAGCTACTGGAGAGGTCAGAGAGAGGTCAAAAAAGGATTCAATTCCTTATTTCAGTTACAAGAGAAACCACTTCAGAAAAGCAATAAGATCGACTGTTTGTAATCTGCCTCTTTTTAATGACCCATTTTCTGACCAAGAGAATTATAGTAGATTATTAAATATGAAATTTGTTTTTAGCAATGTTTCACAGCATCATATCTTTAAGAAAACTGACATCTGCCCTTCAGATCTCTACAGTGGCAGTTAAAAAAATAGTCATTAAATATAGAAGAAGGTAAAAAATAACACACACATTTGGTGGTTGTTAAAGACATCTGTGTGATCTCGTATAAATAAAATCTTACCATGATTAAGAAGAGTTAATTGTAGTACAGCACATGTGAAGCAGCTGCAAGCAAATTAAGTGCAAATTCAATAATCACGATAAACCAGTGAAACAACAGTTCAAGGTTACCAGATTAAACTCTCTTATGATATATCTTTTTAAGAATTCTGGAAATGAGTTCACCAAATCATGAAAGCAAAAGGACATACAGTTTGTTAATGAACAGAAAACAAGGAAAATGTCAAGAATTTTAAGTTCCTAGAAGAACTTATAGTTTTCCACACCTTTGACATGTGTGGTGGTAATTGTCAAAGAAACTATAATTGTCAAAATGAAAATTGTCAAAGAAAGAATGGGGATTAATGAATATCAGTCCTGTTGTGGGTTGTTAATTAAAGGGATCGGATGTGAGAACAGGAGAACTCTGAAGGTTCGGATTTTGGTGGTGGTGGGGGGGGAGTTTGATTTAAACTTCAGTCCAGATTTAAATCAAATGTAATTTCTTTGCTTGCTTAAGTTATGATTTAATATATTCCAAAGAACATTTTAGAAGAAAACTTCAAAAATGAAAGAATGGTTTCAGTGTTTAATTTTCTGCTGAGAATTTTTCAATGACCTATAATGAATGCTGCTATTTTCTTGTTCATAGGCTGTATGCTGCGATTGTTCCTTCGAACATTTTAAATTGAGGGAGGTTTTTTTTTCCTCAAGTACATCAGAACAAGTTTCTGGTTTGGCAGCTTGACTGATTCTGAATCGTAGTTTTATTCCGTAAGACTCTCGGTAAGAGCCCTCTTACAGGATTAGCCGTTTTTTGTTAATCCATGTTAAGTGAAGTATACTGGCTCCTGCTCTCTTGCTTGTTGTCCAAGCATCACATTATTCCTACATCCTCACTCTTATCACGTTCATCCTTGTAGACATTTTCTCCAGGGAACTAAGCCTTAGCTTCACCTCTCATAGTTATGTATTTACACAAGAAAAAATCCGCGGGACATAGGTTTCCCATCCATTTTTGTTCCTTTTTCGAAAAACATTAGGTTGTTTTTGCAAATAAACTGGACTGCTGTTATGTTGCAGCTGTTTTGCCTTTTGTTATTTAGCCAGCTAAAAAAAAACAATGGCTGAAAGATTGATTCACCAGAATTCTTCTCATATGAGAAAGAAGAACTCCATGGACGTGCAAAACATGCAATCTGAAAATGGTGGAGGCGCCTGGTGAAAGGGATGTGCTGTCATTTTGCGCTTGTACCCCCTTTGCGTCTTTAAATTGTTTCATTAGTCTTTTCTTCTGACAGTCTTTTTTTTCTGTAGAGTGTGACAGGCTCGGTGGCGTTGATGTTAATTGATTGGGATGCCTTTTTTGTTTCGGTGCTGCTATAGAATCCGTGCAGAGCAGTATGTCAAGCCGAAATATGAGCCTTGAATTGAGTGAGCGCAGGCTAACATGGAGGCCTGGCTTTGTAATGACCGAGTTAAGAAGTGCTGAAATCGTTGATTATGTCTTTTCCTTAGAGGGCCTAAGGCACACTGTCTCCACTTGCTCACTACGCATACTTATTTGAAGCAATAGGAAATGATTCATGGCACATATTTAAAATTGTTATGCAGATGGGGTTTAAAAAAAGACAAAGGTCTGATTTATTTCTTGCTCTCCCAAGATTATAAGTTTAATATTACAAACTGGTGAACACATACCATTATCAAATATCCATATTGCCCTTTTTGCTGCAAAAACGTGGGAGCTTTTTTTTAATGCTGCCTAAATTCTACATTGAGCATGTACAGTAAGTTGGTGTTGCTTTTATAGATGACATGGTTTTACCACATAACTGTCTCCTTAATCCACATCTTACTGAAGATATGGATACAGTAGCATGTCATGGCATTGACTGATTGGAGGTGAAGACCTTTCAATGAAACTTGTAAAAACTTGTCCCTCACATGGTCTGGTAAATTGGACCAAAACCAGCTGAAGAACAGTATCACATGGGAAAAATATAATGCTGATTTTGTTTTAAAAAATGGAAAACAACATTAATTTTCTGGCATTTCCATTCCCATAATTTTGCAAGCCTGTTCCATCAGACAGTTCTCTTACAAGACGCCATATGTATTCATAAGAATCCAAGCTGTGTCCATCTGTTGGGTTAATACGGCTAGAACCTTGGCAGCTGTACTTTTCACACTTAATTATTCACATGCAGGTCTCCAGAAGCTGGAGCAATCTCTCGTTTTTCTGCCTTGCATAAAGAACCACGCAGAGATCCTGCTGAAATTTCAAAAAAATCTTTATTTTCCCCAAACACGGCATGACAGGCAATCTTCAGATAAATAATATTTAATTTCAAGGCATCTGTTAGCTGGGAATGCTTCATCTTTGAGATTGTCTACTGGGCTATCTACGTCTTATTGGATGGTTCTCTCATGAAGGATTGATGACTCTCCATGCTGATAAAGAGGGGGAAGGAGGGCCTTTTGAAGCAGTGGCAGGAGTGTTTAAATGCAGTAAATGAATATTTTTGCATCTTGCACGTGGTACAAAGATGTAAAACCACAATTTAAATGTTTGAAAAGAAAACATACGTATTTGTTGAGTGGCTATAATGCATTACCCTATAGTATCTGCTCCTCTAAAGTGAATCCTGCCCTATCTGGTTGGAATTGTGCATTTTAATGTTCACGTACTTTTTTAGTTGTCATCCTTTAATATTATATAATGGATTTAATTATAACCGTATGTAATTCCTGTGGCTCCTATCTGTGGTCCTGGGGAGGAACACTGTCTCTTGTTTTTTACTGCAGCCAGTTCTTAGTCACAGGCATGAGAGCAGGCAGTGTTGCCTGAAATGGAACCAATTGGACACATACAGAATGCACAAATGCTCAAAGTGGGTGTGTCTGATACAGTGTCATTCCCATCTGTGGGTGTGTCTGGTACAGTGTTTTTCCACCTGTGTCTGTTTATCATCTGTTTATCGTTGATCGACTAGTGAGAGCTGTTAAGTTAGAAATAAGTTAAAGGAGAAGTTGCATGAACTTTGTATGCCTTGAAGCAAGGTATTTGTGACCCCTCAGGACTGACCAAAGTTCAATATAAGCCTAAAGAAGCAAGTAGATTAGTTTTGTCATCAATTAGCACTGGAGTTTTGTGGCTCAGCTAAGCCAGTGAACAGTATTTCCTCAGGACCAGGGATGGGAATCACAATATTAAATGGTTCCTCATGTTTCTTCATGTTTCAGATTTAACATTAAATATTTCAAAGAGCTCCACAGCTTTAAAAATAAAATAACTTACTTCAGAGGTTTGTTGTAATTACTTAATTACCCAGATATCATCATGTTTTTCAAAAGTGAGTTCCTTTTTTTTAAAGTAAATTCTTATAAAAAAGCAAAGACATTTAGAGAGTGTTACTCTGGAGAGATATTCAAGTGAAAATTGTTTGGCAGATGAGCTGTTGAAAAGTAATAAAACTATCACTCACAGCCACCAACTGCATTTAATATACCATCAGCTTTGACAGCCTCTGTGTCAGGCTCATTGATTTGCTGTGCCAGAAGGAGCTTGGAACAGTGCCAGTGTTATCCTGTCTGACAAAAACTAGATGTTTGTTCTCATTTGGAAAGTGGTTCAGTCATCACAGTTCGAATCAAGGGGAAAGCTAAAATCTCTTTCTTTTCCTTGTCCTGTATATTATTTGGCACAGGTAACATTCTAAAAGAACTTACCTGGGGCAAAGCCATAAGTTTCCACAACAACAACAAAAAAAATCTCTTTAAAGGTATGAATTTTATCTTAAAGGTCAAAGTAAAAAAAGAAATGGAGAACATCCTACTTGCTAAAAGATGTAGGATTTTCAATGTACAGTCTGGAATTTCGCATACTTTTTTAATGTTATCCTTGGAAGCAGCTTAATTTAACAGTTTTTGAGTCACCACTGAGTCTGGAAGGAATATTAAAGATGAAAAGAAGCTGATCCTACTGTTCTGGAAGTTAAAATAAGGAAAGCTCTGTTGCCTTCCATCTTCACCTCTGAGAATCCCTATGGGGTTTAAATAAAATATGTGAACTAACTCATTCTTTTGCAAAGCTTCTGAACTTTCCACCCTCCTTCCCGATTTATTGCAAAGCATGCAAATGAGGGAGGTAGCCTTGGCCACCCTTTCTCTATGGCGATGGCATATTTAATAATGGATGTACTGCATAAACTATTCATCGGCTTCCTTGCAGGAGAGCGACCTTCTCACCTTCAACATCTCGGCACACCACTCATGGTGGAGTGAGCACGGCCCAGGGTGTGTGCGAAAGGAGATGCCGGCGACAGGAGTCAAGAGCTTTGACAGCCAGTCCTACATTTCGGTCATGGGCTGCATGGTGGAGTATCAGTACATCGAGGTCATGCACAGCGCCTTCCAGATCTTGATAGCTGTGAGTACAGTCAGCGTGGGTAAATTACACTCATCATCTGAATCGGGTGGGGGGAAGGGGGAGTGTTCCAGGTTTAGCAGCCCACAGATCATGGTATGGATCAAAGGTGGGCATGAATTTTTCATCTTAATTTCAAGACACATTATCATCTTTTACATGAATTACATATAAAATCCATGTACGCAGTTGCTGTAACACACAAGGTGATCGATTTCACACATGAAGAAGAGATTAGAAATGTACTCTGTGTTACAAATTAGTCTCATCCAGTAGGGTCCTGGTCATGATGGGGACAGCAGGTTTGCACAGTTCTTCAGAATAAGAAATTGTAAAGTTGTACACTGTCATCTAGATCTAGAATTTTCCACAATCTACAGGACAAAGTCCTGTAGCCTGATTTCCAGGACACTTCTGGCATGTACAGGAATCTGGTGTTTAAAGACACCAGCCAAAAATTTTTAATGCAACCTAGAGACCAGGTTTTTTGACCGTACCGCTCTTTGTTACAGAATTGTTTGCTTCTGTCTGGTAAAAAGGCCGCCAAGACAAGCACAAGACAAGCACTGGACGTTTTTATCCTGGTGGTTCCCAGTCCAGGTCTTGGGGAACCTGGTATCTATCAGGTTACCAGGTCATTTTTTTTTTCTCCAGCAGTGTTCTGAGTCATTGTCAGATTAGTTTCAGTTTTCTATTTTTAGGCCTAATTTTTACATTTGCTTCCCACTCTTCAAAGGTGAATGGGATTTAAAGTTGGTATTCATCCTGTACTAATTAGTTTCAGAATGGCTTTCTTTCATATGTGTTAACTGCAATGTGATGGGTTGCACCTAAGCAGAAGGTTTAAAAAAATGTCTAAACCATTATCATGTGTCTGTTCATCATAAACTGGCCTCCTATTAAGAGCTTTTTAGTCAAACATAAGGAAGCTAGTTTTAAAGAGACTGCAAAAATTGGTTTATAACTTTTAGAAGAAAATTGTGACACCCCCGATTCATGGGATAGAGTTAGAGAACACTACAGTTTTCTGTCACAGATCACAACCCTAGATACAACTTTAACATCTCTCCAAGACCGACATGTAGAAATCAGAATAGCAGTTGTGAAATGCTGTTAGGTTGAGTACTGTACAGAAGAAAATCAAGGTATGTTCTTATTAAGGCTGTTTGCATTGTGACTGCAGTCAATAAATTACAAAAAAGAAACCTGTACACAACTAGAAATTAATTCCTTTGTTCTTGACTTTATACTTTACACTGTCTTTACACAACCTTGAATGTGTAGAATTAAAACATCTTTCATTGATTTGGGATGTTTTAAGACAAGTTGATTGATTTCTCTTCACTGAGCTCTCACACTGCTCAGGGATTTCATGGAAATGTGGAGAAGGAGGAGGCTGGTTTTGATCATGGTTGAGTCATGTTTAATAGTACAGGCAACAGAAATGTGTGACATCAGAAATATTATGAAATCAGCCTTCTGCTTTTGCTTTTCTAATAATGATATTGCTGTTTTACTTTTAATAGAAAAAATGATTGATGGTCAGATGTCTAGGTATGAAATTACTAGTACCGCTTTTGATTAAAACATTCTAAAAAATGTCAGTATATATTGTGTACATTTGGTGTTCCAAGATAATTGATTAATTCAAATATAAATACAGTATGTACAGGGTTTGTTTCTCTTTATGGTGACTTCTGACTTCTTTTACAATAATTTTATGTTCAGAAGTTCCTACTGTAAGATCTCAGTCTGTAGACAGTTTTTTTTTAGATTTGACCATATTAAGAATTTTTCCTTTTACAGAAAAGTGTGGTTAGCTATCCACGAGGAAAAAAAACTTTATGAACAAGGGATGTTCTAATAACATCCTTCACTTCTATATATTTGAACTGTAGCTACTCTAACATTTTTATTCTATAGTTTATGGCCATTGACATAGTAATTATCAGCACTGTAGTGGAAAATTTATCCTGGTCAATGTTCCTGTTCATAAAAACTCCTCATAAATGAAATGACTGCTTTCCACTTAGTATCTCTCAGTGTTTAAACTTGTCAGCTCATGCCAAGGGATTTGTATTTCAACAGCATAAAAGGGAAAGCATTCTTGATCTATTTTTTTCAGATCTAGATAAGGTTTGTTTTGGGCATTCACTCAATAGATTGATTGTGCTTTTGTTTCACATCAGTGAATTGCACTTTGTCAGTCTGTGTCAGGTCACTAACCAAGATTAATTGGAAAGCAATGTCAGAACACAACAATTCAGATTATCATTTCATATGTAAAAGGTTTTGGCATTCTTTTATTCGCCTAAATATTAATCTCTCTTGCATGGCCAAGCAACTTAGTTTTATCTGTGAAGAAGAATATTATGTATATTAATGTTTTCAGCTATGGTTTTTCTGTATTGAGCCTAGGAATTGAATTCTAAAAGCTGAGTAGTGACTGCAGGGAGACTACAAGGTCAGTGAAGCTGTTTCTAATGCTGTAAAATGTCCTTGATTTGCTTCTACAGTCCTTCATATTGGTTTCTCATGTATACTTTGCCTGGGGTTATGGTGAGAAGAGTCTGATCAATTAAATTGATTGACTTATCAATTAAAATGGAGAAATTATGAATTTTGTTCCTTCTCATCTGAACTGCACTGTCATCACCCAATCAGGTTGTTTTCCAGTATTACAACAGCCATGGAACCTTGAAGAAATGTGTTGGTTCTCATGATCTACATATATTGTGGGTCCATTGTGTGGCAACTGGGGTTCCCCAAGTAAAATTGTGTGATTAGCTGAAGTACTGATAGATGGAGGAATATCTGGGTACACCTGGCATTCAGCCCACCAGTGATGTCTGTAGCATGCTGGGTGTTAGTAGTTGTGTCAGTGAGAGCTGTATCAGCTGTCCAATCAGAAATAATTTTGCTGTAGACACTGTGGAACTCAGGGTACATAAACAGTGCACATCTAGACATTCTCATCCCTGCTTATTCTTATACTGGGGCTGTGACTGGATCCATAAACTGCCTGGCACTGGAAATTCCAAATGGGTGTGTATAGAATTACATTTAGGTAATTTTGAATTTTAAGCACTGTGGGGCTGTGAAGTGTGAGTAGGATGTAGACATTTCGGAGGAATTGTACAAAGGTTGCGGCAATAACAGTTGCTGCTTCTAAATTGCGGTTACAAATGGTGGACATGAGGAAGCTGTGCAAACAATAAAATGCAGCATTCTCACCACACTTTAAGCTTACTTCATCTGTCAAGATTACATTTGTTTTTTCTTTAATTTTTTCAGTTTAGATTTGTGTTTTGCCTGTTTTTAGGGCAATGTAAAAGTCCGTTATAATTAAGACGACCAAACCAAGACTGCTTTTGAGTGGAGAGAAGAAAAAATAACTCAGAAAGCCACATTCTGCATTAATAGTGCACAGCGATTTTGTGTTTCATGGCTTTTGTTCTCAACAGCTTAGTGAAATTACATTAAAAGGCGCAAAGCTTCATTTAATTTAGCGTTGAAACAGTAATTTTTCAATTTCTTCTTATTTTACTTTTATGAAAGTGGAAGATGCCCAGAGACTATCCTTCAAAACCATGAGCTCACATTTTCATATTAACACATCTATAGGACTTCCTAATTAAACCTTTTATCTAGTCCTCAGTGTAGGAAGAAAAGATAATGATACTTCACAGTTAATTCGACAGGAGCATCAGATTTTTCTATTGCCTAATGTTTAAAATTCCTCTTACCCTACCAGTGATAGATGTGATGGCTTTATGATTATACAGCAAGACATTTTGTACAGGTTTGAAAAGGATAGTTCCCTAGATTTTTTTTTAAATGGAGCCCTCTTTACAAAGACAAAAATAGGTCTATCTGAATAACTGAGTCTTCTGAAACAAAGCTATTTAACTTTTAATTAGTTATTACAGACCTCGTCTGAGACAAGTTTGAAATGTATCATAATGAGCAGTCGAAAATTAAACCTCTTGGGCATACACAAAAAATCTAATTTCCACTATTTCTTTAAAAAGTCACTGCTATAAAAAAAGCAACAAAGCACTTCAGCAACTCATTTGCAATCTCAGTTTCAGGAAAACTGCCATTAAAGCATTAGTAAGAAAAAGAAGACATCTCAGACAGATTGCAGGATGGTGTTAGCTAGTTTTAGTTTTTTAGTTAATAGTTGATGCCGTGATTGTTTATTATCACTATCCAAAATTGTGTTTCTTTCAGAAATGTTACAAAATGTCTTTTTTTATTAATAAAGTAACAATTTCTTTATTCAGATAGAGTCCACTCATGTTCATTCCCATGTAGACTCAAGTTAATATTGGCTGAAGGATTACAGTACATTAGTGAATAGATTAGTCAATACATTGGAAGGCACTCAGCAGAGATGATGTCTATGCAACATTCTTAACCAGACACGTATAATCTGGCATTGTTGGTTTGTAGTGTAAATTCACTCACAGGAGTGTGCGCCTGTATTTCTTACACCAGTATTTTGCACTAATTGTCTTGCAATATTTTTTTAACATCTGTCACCAACCATTTCAGCGGGGAAGAGATGAGAATAGATGCACTCATTGTCATGCTCGCTCCTGTTGGAGTTGTGTGAAGTGAGCATTGGCATAGCAGCTGGCCACACCTCTACTTACCTGTCATTTAGCGCTGGTTGCCATGGATACCGTTGTGACAGGAAACCTGTACCACCTGGAGGCATGCCTGTCTCAGGTAGTTCAGGTTTTTTTAAACCAGGTGGAGCTCTAGACTGGACTCCAGCACAGAGTTTTCTACAACCCTAGCTTGACTCCTTGTTTCCTCAGTCCTGAGTTTTCGCTATGTTTTGCCTGCTTCCCCTGCCTGCTGCAGACATCTCGCTTATGTTGTAAATTACCTCCAGGTGGTACAGGTTTCCTGTCAGATATGTATTCACAGCAACCAATGCTGAATGACAGGTGAGTGGAGGTATGGCTGGCTGCCATGGCGATGATAGCTCAATC